GGTTGAGCTATAGGCGCTGAGCCGATGGCCCACATCTTTATTCCTTTATTCCTAGATACTCATGAGGCTGAGACATGAGAATGGCTTGAACCCAGGTATTTTCTGTTGCTATGAGCTATGATGATACCACTGCACTCTAGCCCTAGGTAACAGAGTGAGAATCTGTCTAAAAAAAGAAAAATAAAATCACCAGGTGTGGTGGCTCATGCCTGTAATCTCAGCACTCTGGGAGTCTGGGAAGGGAGGATTACTTGAGCTCATGAGTTGGAGGCCAGCCTGAGCAAGATCGAGACCCTGTCATTACTAAAGATAGGAAAATTAGCTAGGTGTTGTGGTGAGTGCCTGTGGTCTCAGCTACTTGGGAGGTTGAGGCAGGAGAATGGCTTAAACCCAGGAGATTGAGGTTGCTTGGGGCAACAGAGTGAGACTCAGTCTCAAAAAAGAAAAATCACATTAATGGGTTATGTATTTTAAAATAGAACAAAGAAGAAAGAACATAAAACTATTGCTACACAAAAACAGCATGGACAAGATCTCATAGTCATAATGTTGAGTGAAAGAAATCATACAGAAGAGAATACCTACAGTATAATTATATTTATATGAAATTTAAAACTGGATTGAAGTGATATCTAGGAGTAGAAGTCAGAATAGTGGTTACTGGTGGTGGGGGATGATGATGGAAAGGAGGTGGGAGGGTGACTTTTCCATGCTAGGGATGTTATCTCACTCCATCTGTGTGCTGGTTATATGGTTATATACATATGCAAAAGTTAACTGATCTATAACCTTAGGACTTGTGTGCTTTATGCAACTTACATCTCATTATATAAAATAAAATGAAGAAAATAAAAATGATGACCTTTCCACATCAGATGGGGAATGAAATCAATGCTTTTTTTTTTTTTAAAGACAGAGTCTCACTTTGTCACCCTCAATAGAGTGCGGTGGTGTCGTAGCTCACAGCAACCTCCAGCTGTTGGGCTTAGGGGATTCTCTTGCCTCAGCCTCCGGAGTAGCTTGGACTACAGACGCCCGCCACAACGCCCGGCTATTTTTTTTGTTGCAGTTTGGCCGGGGCCAGGTTTGAACCCACCATCCTCGGTATATGGGGCCGGCGCCCTACTCATTGAGCCACAGGCGCCCCCCAAATCAATGCTTCTTACATCTTCCTGGAGAGACTTGAGGTCTGAATGTTTTGAGACCAGAATCAGGATCCTTTTCCCTCCCTCTGTCCCTCCCTCCTTCCCTTCCTTCCTTCCTTCTAGCACATCTCAGTTGTGGGAAGATACTGTCCTTTTTTACCTGCCTGTTTAAAATCTGATTTTTGCCACGAAGTCCTAATCCTTCAAGACAGTGTGTGTTGAGGCAAGAAGGTAGCCTCTTCATTAATGGCTAGGATTCTGGGGGAATGGATACTCCAAGGCCTCACTTCTGTTTTTTTCTCTTCCCTTCCCTACCC